TGGAGGAAAGGGTTGCTGGCGAGCAATTACAGTGCCGGTGGCGGAAGAGCCGCCTGGCCCAGACGTCCTCGTGTTCACCCTCCTCCCCCCCACTCCCCCCCCCCGCAAGTCGTCCTCTTGTTTCCCTTCTCCCGCCCATTCATCCCCCACCCGCAGTCGCCCTCTAACTGATCCACCCCCTGTAATTGCTCTCCAGCAACCCTTTCCTCCACAACCCCTGCTCATCTGCTCTTTTTATTAATTTTACTTGGCTGATAATGGTGTCAGTGCAACCAGACCCGCTCACTAATGATTTCTCTTCTTTGTTGTAGCCGCCCACCTCCTTCTCGTGTCCCTCCCCCTGCTCATCCTCCACCAGCAGCCGTTGCCCCAACCTCAGTGCAGCCACGCCAGCCAGGTCTGATGGCACAGATGGCAAGCACGGCTGCGGGAGTGGCGGTGGGCTCAGCAGTTGGCCATGTGATGGGTAGTGCTCTGACAGGTGCCCTCAGTGGAGGAAGCAGCTCTGAACCGGCCAGGGCTGACGTTACCTATCAGGTAAGGGAGCATGTCGGAGATTTCCTCAGCCCTTTGACCAGAAATTAACCTAATAACCCTTCCCTGAACTGCTTCAAATGCAAGACTGTCTTGCACCCTCTCTCTTTTACTATTTTCTGTCCCTTCTCTTTACTCTTACACACACACACACCCCCGACAGGTCAGGGGACCCCACTCTGTACAGTACTTCACGTCGAGGTACACCATGCCATACACAATTGCTACAAGTGCCCTTACTTGAATACCCCACCCTCCTGAAAGAAAAGGCAATATTCTGTTTACTTTCCTAGCCACTTGCCTTACCTGCATACAAACCTTTTTGAGACTTGTGTATAAGGATGCCCAGATACACCTGTCCTGCAGTAATCTGTAGTCTTTTTCCATTTAAATATTCTGTCTTGCTATGCTTTCAACTAAAGTGAACCTCATATCTTTTCATTTTTACTGTTGCTTGTAGCTGCTCCTGCCAGGGGATCTACTGTCATGGTGCCACACTCGTGTCATCCTCATGTCCCCAGACCTTATCCCACCATTCAATTACGTTTTGGTATCCTCTTTATCTTGTGGAAGAGTTTCCTCTAGGTGTTCTGGTCTGATCAAATAGCTGGAATTCTTTTCTGGATGTCACTTTTCAAATTTACAGTTTTTTTTTGCTCTTTCAATTTTGGGTACTTCTGTATTGTCTTGTGGAATTTTTAGAATGTGTCTTAGCATCACTGTTTATCATTTGCCAAATTTTTGCCCAGTCACTAACTTACTGTGAGCTCTTTGGAGACTGCTTGTATCTTCCTCACCCCTTCTTACTCCACCCATTTTAGTATCATCAGCAAGGCTACATTATAGTTTGTGTCTTCATCCAAATTGGTAATTAAGGTGTAAGATAGCAGAGGTACCTGGACTGATCCCTGTGGCACTCCACTAATTAGTCAGCTGATTTGAAAGTGACCTTTTTATCGGGACTCCATTTCCTGTTAATTTATTAGTCCTTTATCTGTGCTGGTGTATCACCCAGACACAGTTCTTTGCTTGTAAATAATACCTTTTCATGTGGCACTTTATCAAATGCCTTTTAGTAATCCAAACATATCTACTCATTCCCTTTACCTAGCCTGCTTGCTACATCCTCAAGGAGACCTAATAAATTTGTTAGATTCACTTTTCCCTTTCATAAAACAATATTGACTCTGCCTGATTATGTTTTGATTTTTGACACATTGACTACTTCCTGCGTAAAGAATCTCAGCATTTCCCAATGACCTGCAAATCATGCAGTATTCCACGAAGATTGCGATGAGCTCTTTTACTTTCTCCACTCTTATTTCCCATGTTGCTAAATGGGTTAAGTAAGCTATCCAAACCAGGTGATTGCTCCATTGTGAGCATGGCCAGTCTTTTCAGTATTTCCTCCCTTTTCCTTAGTAACTATCAATACAAAATGCTCATTCATGATTCTAGCCTTACTACTTTGTCCCTAATAAGAGCCATCCCATCTGTATGACCCATATCTTCACATATTAGTAGAATATTTTTGACTCCATTCTATTGTCTGCCAGTTTTATTTTTCTCTTTACTTCTCCATGCTGTTTGTTTTAAGCTCCTGTGAAGTACCTGGGGCTGTTTCAATTCTTCACGGACACTAGTACAAACTGGTTTTGTGGTATTCTTTTGGATTGAAGTGAAGAGGATGCAGTGACAAGGCAGTATAAGACCAGCAGTAACCCTGCCTAGGAAGGTACAAGTTCAATGTAATGTGATAATTGCCTGGCAGTTGCCTTTTAGTCAGTGGAGTTTGCCTGTTTCTCTGCAGGAGCCTCCACTGGCAGCCCCTCTGACCCAGTCACAGACCCAGCAGAACATACCATGCCAATTTGAAATGAGGCAATTCCTGGAGTGCGCCCAGAACCAGCATGATCTGACTCTCTGCGATGGATTCAATGAAGTGTTGAAGCAATGTAAATCATCACATGGTAAGTGTGAAAGGTTGTAATGGCCATTGGTTTTATTTTAAATGTGGGATCAGTTGAGTACACTAAGGGCTCCTGTGGGAAGAGCTTGCACGAGGGAGATGGAGTATGTGTGACCCCACCTGCACCCTCATATGGCCACACCCAGTGCAGAGAGCTTTCTCGATGTTGGAAGTAGGATTATTTTTAAGGCAGAGCTAAGGAGATTCTTTGTAAGTTTCTGGATTAAATCATTGAGGGTAGGCAGAAATGTGGAGTAATCACATTGGCTATAATCTTGTGAATAGTGGAGCAGGCTCAAGGGGCCAAATAGCCCATTTCTGCTAATTAGTATGTTTGTAAAAGGAGTGTGTATGGGTCAAAGCAAGCCTGCATCAGTGAAAGGGCACGTTAAGGGATTAGGAAGGGCTGAGGGATGACGGGGAGGGGAGTCCAGTGGGTTACATACAAGGGGGAGTGAAGATCTGCATGTGCAGAGGCACAACAAGATGGCATTGGAATAGGGCCTGAGCTGGACCTGTTCTGCTCCGACTGCTTTTCATTTTTTTTCTTTTTTTTTAAATCTCTCTGTACCTTAGCTCTTGTCCTGAGCTCAGGACAGCATCAGCGGCAGTGAGGGTCCAGCGTGGACCTCAAGTAAAACTCATTACTTTTCTGGGGTGAGCACAAGACCTGGCATTGAAATTGGCGGCTGCTACATTGGAGGCGACGTCACCTAGGTAGGCCTAGCAGTGAAAAATGGCACCTGAGGATCAGCAGCCTCGTCATTGGTTGGGTCCAGTTCTGAAGCGGTGGTGAAAGGGCATCACAGTGATGTCGACAAAGTGGGCCCAGCAGTGAGAGGTGCGATTGACATTGGTTGGTTTGGCGCAGGTAGTGATGCAGTAGCAGAGGGATGGCAGTCAGGCATTGTTGATAAACTGGCTCAGGACTGATGGACTTTTTTTTTTAAGCCATATCTATCTTTTATTCTTCCTTATTAAATTTGAATTGGTGCTTAATGGTGGCAGCAAATGAAAGTGTTCACTATTTTGTATTACTGTAAAGTAAACGTGACAATTAAATCATCACTTCATTCATTCATCATTCAGATGAATTGATGTCTGCAGGGGGTGGGTGAGGGGAGAAGGCAGTACTTGTCAGGGAGCACAAGATGGGGCTCATAGGGAGTGAGATGGGAGTGAAGACAGGTGGGTGCAAGTACATGTGCTGGAGAACTAGGTGGAGAGGGTTTAGAGTGTCAAGTTCCTATGAGTGATAACTGACAAGCTGTCCTGGACCTCCCACGTAGATGCGACAGTAAAGGTGAAACAACATGTCGTCTTCCTCAGGTGGCTTAGGAAATCTGGCATGTCCATAAGGACCCTTACCAACATTTACAGTTGCACCCCAGAAAACATTTATCTGGGTGCATAATGGCCTGGTATGTGGAAAGGCTGCCAACATCAAAGACACTTCCTACCCCAGTAATGCTCTCTTCCAAACTCTTCCATCGCGCAGAATATGCAGTAGCTTGAATATGCACCAACAGCCTCAAGAACAGCTGATTCTCTGCTGTTATTGGACTGTTGAATGAACCCCTCTAACTTGAAATAACGTTGATCCTGCTTTGTGCACCTCCTGTGTAGCTGTAACCTTGTATGCCTTGCTCAATGATCAGTATGTCCTGTTTGCGGTGATGTGCTTGTACTACTTGCAAAACAAAGCTTTTCACTGTACTTGGATACATGTGACTACAATAAATCAAACCAACTTGGCACGGAGGTGAATGCAGGGAGGTAGCCAGGAGGGTTGGAATTCAGGGTGTGGAAAGTGAGGGTAGGGGCTCTAGAACGTGGAGGGTGAGAGGATTTTTTTTTTCTATTCATTTGTGGGATGTGGATGTCGCTGGCTGGCCAGCATTTCTTGCCCATCCCTAGTTGCCCTTGAGAAGGTGTTGGTGAGCTGTCTGGCAAAAAGTGGGAGAGGGAGAAAGAATGAGGGCAGAGGAGGGGTTAAAGAATATAAACAACTTTTCAGTAGGTATAAGGGCCAAATCTGAAATCCTTGTGCATGTAAAATTGCATGTGTGAAACCTGGTCCTCCTACCTCATTGGGCATTGTCCTGACTGGTTGCTGGACTAGCAATCCAGAGAATGTCGTGTGGAAATCCACTATGGCAACTGAGGCAACTTAAATTCAGTGAACACTTGATCATGGCTATGAAACTATCACATTGGCTAAGATACCATCTAACTTTCAAATACCCTCGTGGGAAGGAAAACTGACATTCTTACTGAGACCAACAGTACACCGCTAAGTCAGTCATTTCAGTGGCTATGTTCAATGAGGTAGCTGAGCAGTGATGGAGTGCTGACCTTAACCAATTTAGCCTACATCTGCAACGTGTTCACATCCAGCAGAGATGAAGTCTGTCAATTGTAGCTGTCATTTAAAATTTGGTTCCTCCTCTCTGCTGTTTTTGTTAATGGTGGGAACACCGGCCATCTGTGGTTAAACCAACAGCAGTTGCTGACTGGTTCTCTTTTAACTTTTTTTTATTTTTTATTAGGTTTGTCTTGAAGATGTGCTGGTTGGAAGCCTAGAGTTTGATGAGGAAAGGCAGGAATACGATGATCCTGTTGAAGTCTTCTGAATTCATTGAAGTGCAGAGAGTTCAGTTATGCACAGTCACTGGATGTTAATAAAATATTCTTGTAATTGGACTCTGCCTCTTTTCTAAGCTGGGTGGTGACAAGTGGGCAATGATATTACTTGTAGCAGGGCCTCTAGTCGCTTTGCACTTGTTAGAGTGACATTTTGCTAATACTAAGACTCAAACCAGAATATTAGAATCACCTATTTGTGCCTGCTTTAGATAATAACACAGCATTTGCTTCAATTCTAGAGAGATTGGAAGCTGATTGTTCCCTGAAAAGCAGAGAAAGAAAATTGATTGATTGTGTAAATAATAAATGAATTTGAACACTATCAAAATAAAGTGACAAGAGAAGTCAGTAACCAGAGAGAACAATGGAGATAGCAAGATCTGCAGATGCTGGAGTCAGAGACAACACTGTGGAGCTGAAGGAACATAGCAGGCCAGGCAGGATCCAGAGGAGCAGGTAAGTTGACTTTTTGGGACCCATCAGATTTGTTGAGTGGAAGCTTTGTTAACACGAGGAGTTACTTCAATCTGGAGCACTAGAGGCAGATTCCATATTTAAGGAGATATTCAGTTCCTCCTAATTGAAATATTTCTAGAGAGGAAGAAAGATTGCAAGGGGGAGAATACATCCATGGTTAAGCAAGGCAGTTTAAAAAGTTAAAAATTAAGTTAAAAGTTAAGGCAAAAATTAAGACATACATTACCAAGGCCAATGGCAGGGTAGTGAATTTGGAAACATTAAATATCAATAAAGATTTACTTAAAAAAGGCAAAAGTTAACTACAAAAGACTAGGCAAAACGTAATAAGGATTTGGGGTATGCAATGGTTTGGCTGTATTATCATCACTTAACTATTAATCTAGAAACTCAAGTAATTTTCTGGGACCTGTGCTCAAATGGTGTCATGGCAGATGGTGAAATTCAATTAAGAAAATGTGAAATACAGTCTAATGATAACCATGAAATCACTGCTGGGAAAAGGAAACACTGTGCTTCATTAATGACCTTCAGGGAAGGAAACCTGCCATCCTGACTTGTCTGGCCTGTATGTGACTTCAGATTCACAGCAATCTGCTGAACTGCCCTCTGAACTAACCTAGCAAGGCACTCAGTTGTATCAATTGCTACAAAGTCTCCAAAAAGAAATGAAACTGTATGTGACAGAGCCAGCAAAGTTGGTGGTATATAGTTAGGAGGCAATTGCCCCTAGAGTCGTCAACATTGATTCTGTTGTGTCTCATGGCATCAAGTCAAACACAGGCAAGGAAACCTCCTGTTGATTACAAATAAAATTCTCCCTCAGCTGATAAATGAGTACTCCTCCATGTTATCTGGGTGGGGAATTTCAATGTACATACCAAGAATGGCTCAGCTGATGCGCTCCTAAAAGACATACCTGATACACTGGGTCCATGGTAGCTGGTGAAGGAAGAAGCAACAGAGGAAAAACCAATATGCTTCAGATGCATCTGTCCATTACAGCAAGAGTGTCCACTGCACATTTCTTGTGGAGATGATGTCCTGTCTTAACATTAAAATATTTTTTGTTGTGGTGTGTGGTGCTATCACTGTGCTAAATTACTTCAATGAAATCTAGCAACTCAAGTGGTTTTTATATCCATGAGGCACTCTGGGCTGTCAGCAGCAAAATTGTACTCCAATACAATCTGCAATGCCGTGGCCTAAAATATTTTCCACTCTACTGTTCCTATTAAGCCAGGGGATCAAACCTGGTTCAGTGGAGAGTTCAGGAGGGCATGCCAAGTGAAGCACCAGGCATACCTAAAAATGAAGTGTCAACCTATTAACGTCATTAAACAGGATCACTTTTGTGTGCCAAACAGTGGAAGCAGCATGCAAATCCACAATAGAGGATCAGATCCAAACTCTGCAGCCCTACCACGTGTTGTGAATGGTGGCAGACGGTTAATCAACTGACAGGAGTTGGAGATTACATAAACATCCCCTCCTCAATGATAACGAAGCCCAGTACATTAGGGCAAAGGTTAAGGCTGAAGTATTCAAAGTAAACTTCAAACAGAAGTGCCGAGTGGATGGTTTATCTCAGCCTCCTCCAGAGGTCCATAGTATCACTGATGCCAGTTTTCAGCCAATTCCGTTTACTCCATGTGATATCAAGAAACAGTTGAAGGCCTGGATATGGCAAAGGCTATGGGTCATGACAACATTCAGACAATAGTGCAAAAGACTTTTACTCCAGAACACACTACACCATCAGCCAAGCTGTTACTGTATAGTTACAACACTGGCATCTACCCAACAATGTGGAAAATTGCCCAGAAATGTCCTGTACATAAAAACAGGAAAAATCCAACCTAATGCCTATAAGTCTACTTTCGATCATACGTAAAGTGATAGAAGGTGTCATCAACAGTGCTATCAAGCAGCACTTGCTCAGCAATAACCTGCTCAGTGACACTCCAGTCTAGGATCTGCCAGGGCCACTCAGCCCCTGACCTCATTACAACCTTGGTTCAAACACAGACAAAACAGCTGAATTTCAGAGATGAAATGAGAGTGACTGCCCTTGACATCAAAACTACATTTGACTGAGTGTGGCATCAAGAAGTTATAGTAAAAGTGGAACTGTGGGAATTGGGGGAAAACTTTCTGCTGGTTGATGTCATAACTGGAAGTTAGGAAGATGATTGTGGTTATCATCTTCAACTCCAGGACATCTCTGCAGTTCCTCAAAGTAGAATCTAAGGCCCAACCATCTTCAGTGCTTCGTCAATGATTTTTCCTCTATCATAAGTGGGGATGTTTGCCAACAATTGCACAATGTTCAGCACCATTTGCAATTCTTCACATGCTGAAGTAGCTCATGTTCAAATGCAGCAAGACCTGGACAATGTCAAGGTTTGGGCTGATAAGTGGCAAGTAATATTTGTGTCACAAATGTCAGGCAACGACCATCTCCAATACAAGAGAATCTTAACCATAACCCATTGATATTCACTGGCATTACAATCACTGAATTCTCCACTGTCAACATCCTGGGGGTTATCATTGACAAGAAACTGAAATGGTCTTGCCATGTAAATACAGTGGCTACAAGGACAGGCCAGAGGCTAGGAATCCTTGCAGTGAGTAATTCACCTCCTGACACCCCAAAGCCAGCCCATTGTCTACGAGGCACTAGGTAGAAGTGTGATGGAATACTTCCTACTTGCCTGGATGACTGCAGCTCCAAGAAGTGTGGCACCATCAAAGCAACCCATTGATTGGCACGACATTTACAAACATGCATTTCCTCTTCCCTGCACCACTGATGCTCAGAAGTAGTAGTATGTATTGTTTACAAGATGCATTGCAGAAATTCAATAAAGATGCTTGAACATCACCTTCTAAACCCACAACCACTTCTGTCTAGAAAGACAAGGGCAACAGATACATGGGAACACACACCACTTGCAAGTTTCTCTCTAAGCCACACAATATCCTGGTTTAGAAATGCATCACTGTTTGTTCATTGTCAGTGGGTCAAGATCCTGGAATTCCTTCCATAAGGGCATTTTGGGTTTACCAATACTACATTGTTTGTAGCATTTTAAGAAGGCAGCTGACCATTACCAGCTCAAAGGGCAATGGTGGGGGGGGTGGTGGGCAACCAATAAATGCTGACTCAGCCAGTGACACCCAGGTCCAACAAGTGAATGAAAACAATGCAAGAGTTTTTATAAGAAAATGAAGAGAGTACCTAACTGAATGTCAGACCCTTAGAAGATAAGCCTGGATAAGGGTCATAATGGGGAACACCGGAATGGCAGAGACACTAAATCAATATTGTGTCAGGTCAAGGAGGTGGGGATGACAGGGAGGGTTGGACATGGGATGAAGCCAGGGTTTGGGGAGATCTTAAAACTGGTGAATTCTATGTTTAGGCCATCGGGCTGTAGGCTCCCGAGGCGGAATATGAGGTGTTGCTCCTCCAGTTGCGTGTGGTGTCATTGTGGTACTGGAGGAGGCCCAGAATGGACATGTCACCCAGGGAGTGGGAGGGTGAGTTAAAATGGTTGGCGACCGGAAGGTGTTGTCGTTTGTTATGCACGGAGCGCAGATGCTCTACGAAATGGTCCCCGCACCTACGCTTGGTCTCACCGATGTAGAGGAGGCCACATCGGGAGCAATGGATACAGTAGACCAAGTTGGAGGATCTACACTTGGTCTCACACCTTTCCTTACAACCGCAGGAAGTGCTACACTTTCCCCTAAACCTATCCCTGCAACCGCAGGAAGTGCTACACTTGCCCCTACACCTCCCCCCTCACTTCCATCCAAGGCCCAAAGCAAACTTTTCATATCAGACAGGGGTTCACCTGTACATCCTCCAACTTGATCTACTGTATCTGTTGCTCCTAATGTGGCCTCCTCTACATTGGTGAGACCAAGCGTCGACTCGGAGACGGTTTCATAGAGCATATGCGCTCTATACATTACGAACAACAACAACTTCCGGTCGCCAACCATTTTAACTCCCCCTCCCACTCCCTGGGTGACATGTCCATCCTGGACCTCTTCAAGTGCCACAATGACACCATACGCAAATGAGAGGAGCAACACCTAATATTTCACCTCAGGAATCTACAGCCCGATGGCCTAAACATAGAAGTCACCAGTTTTAAGATCTCCCCACCCCCAGCCTCATCACATGTCCAACCCTCCCTCTCATCCCCATCTCCTTGACTGACACATCCTCTCCATCTTCTTCCCCACCTATCTGTCTACCCTTCCTGCCAAACAATCCCCACTACCCTAACCCTAACACCAACCTATCACCACTCCACTTACCTTTCCCCAGCTCCACCCATCCCACTGATCAATCCCCAGCACCCCACCTCCATCCACCTATCACCATCCCACCTACCTTCCTAAGCCCCGCCCTTCCCCTATGTATTTATTTCCCAGCTCCCTTCCCCCTCTCCAAATCAATATTTTGCCTGTTTTTTTCAGTGGAAGATGCTGAAATCATAGAACATAGGAAGAACACAGAACAGTCCAGCACAGTTCAGGCCCTTCGGTCCACAATGTTGTGCCGCCCATTATCCTACTCTAAGATCAAACTAACCTGCATACCCTTCATCCCAATACTAACAGGTAACGTGGAATAGAAAAAGGAGGAACTTGAAACAATTGTCATGACTACAAAAGAAGTACTAAGCAAAACCTATATCCTAGGGTCCTAAAGAAAGCACTGAAATAGCCCCTTTGGCCCAACTCGTTCATGCCAACCAGGTTTCTTAAACTGTACTAGTTCCATTTGCCTGTATTTGGCCCATATCCCTTTAAACATTCCTTATCCATTGTGACAATACTATGACCGTAAGAGATGTATTTTGTCCTGGTTTTTTTGAAGGGAGGTTTTAAGGCAGAGGTGTTGAGCAGCCTATGCACAGTCACTAGAATAAACAATTTGTAAGGTCTTGGGCTTTTTTTAAAGTTGGAACAATAGAAGTAGCCTGAATGCGTGTGGTCAAGCTCCCGACAGAACCAGGATTTTAAAATTTGTTTTAGTTTTTTTGGTAGCAGTTGCTGCTGGAGTCTTGAAGATGTGGAAGCAGTTTGTTCCTAAACAGCTAAAAGCTGGGGATGGTCTTCCTGCTGCTGGAATTGCATGAGAGACAATCTTGTTTTTCTGAATTTGCCTTTGTCAAGGGGGTATTTATGGATGTTACTATACTGGAACAGTTACTGTTTAGTAGTAAAATAATCCATCTTTCTCTTAGGTTTTCCAATAGAGTTACATCTAAGCCAATTCTTTTCTTTACTCTTTCTTTTGTTGTATTTTTAACTATAGTGTATGAATAAAGTGAATTTTGCTTCAAATCTAGTAGTTTGACCAGTTGAATCGTATCTAGAATGCAATACCATACACTTATCTCTAAAATAAGAAAAAGTTCTGAATATATTTTGAGGGGGTTTGGTCTGGTCCATAATACCATATATCTGTCCAAATGTCTTGTAAATGTAGTAATTATACCTGCCTCTACCACTTCCTCTGGAAGCTCATTCTATTTGCGCACCACTCCTGTGTGAAAAAGTTGCTCCTCAGGTCCTTTTTAAATCTTTCCCCTCTCACCTTGAACCTATGTCCTCTAGATTTGGAATCCCCTATCCTGACAAAAAGACGTTGGCAATTCACCTTATCTATGCCCCTCATGATTTTATAAAACTCAGTCAGATCACCCCTCAGCTATGCCACATTCCTGGAATAAAAGTCCCAGCCTAGAAAGTCTCTCCTTACAACTCAAACCCTCCAGCCTCAGTGACATCCTTTTAAATCTGTTTGCACTCTTTCCAGTTTGGTAACATCTTTCCAATAGTAGGGTGACCAGAATTTGCATTTGGAAGTGGCAGCAAAATAGTACATGTATCAGTTACTAATATTCTGAAATTCTCAGAATATGGGAAAGATTCCAGTGGATTGGAAAATGCTAATGTAACACCTTATTCAAAAAGAGCTGCAGAAAGTAGGGAAGTACTGACCAGTTTAACATCTGTCATCGGCAAATTGATGGAAACAATTATTAAGAAAGTAGTACAGGGCATTTTGAAAGTTAAAACACAATCAATTGGTCAGCATATGAAGAGTAAATCATGTTTGACTAATTTGCTAGAGTTGTGGTTACAAAGTGGATAATGGGGATCGTATAGATGTAGCATATATGGACTTCCAGAAAGCATTTGATATGGTGCCACATAAGATAAGTTCACATGGGAGTGGGTTAGTGTATTCTTAGTGGGTAACCAGTAAAAAGCAGAGTTGGAATAAAATGTCTTCTTTGGTTGCCAAGATATAAGTGGGATGTCACAATTAGGGTCCAAGGACTGAATCCTATTTACAATCTACATTAACTTATATGCAGGGATAGGAAGTACTATAGCCACATTTATGATGACTTTACAATAAGTGGGAAAGTAAGATGCAATGAAGGAATAAGAAACTTACAAATGGATATGGATGGCTTAAGTAAATTTGGCAGATGGAGTTTAACATGGATAAGTCTGAAGTTATTCATTTAGTTTAGAGGAATAGAAAGGCAAATTATTCACAGGGTGCTTAGTCAGAGCAAGGCATACAAGGTTATGGCTGCACAAGAGGTGCACAAAACAAAATCAATATTAGATTGAACTTAGACAAGTCCATGAACAGAATATAAAATTAGGGAAGCGTTGCTGCAAATATACAAGGCATTACTGAGAATGCACTGGAGTATTGCATAAAATTTTGGTCCACTTAGTTGAGGAGGGATGTAATTGTATTGGCGGAAGTTCAGAAAAAATTTACTACATTGATTCCAGAAATCTTGGAGGTCTAATGAGGAGAGATTGAGCAGTTTATGCCTACACCTACTAGAGTTTAGAAGAATGAGAAGAGATCTAATTGAGATATATAAGATACTAAAGGTAGATGTAGAAAGGAAGTTTCCCCTGGTTGGGCAATCTAGAATGAGAGGTCATAGTTTTCTCAAAAGAGGTCGCAGATTTAAAGTAGAAATGAGGAGGAATTATTTCTCTTGAAGAGTCGTGAATTTGTGGAATTCACTATCTGAGGATACAGTGGATGCTGGAACATTGAATAAATTTGAGGAGATAGACATTTTTAATTAGTAATGGGTTGAGGGATTATGGAAGTGGGCAGAAAAATGAAGTTGAGGCTGAAATGAGATCATCATGGTTATATTAAATGGTGCAACATGCTTGAGGGGCCAAATTGCCCACACCTGCTCCTAGTTCTTATTTTCAAATTTAACTTTAAAAAAAAAATCAGACAAATACACGTTAAAATTTACATTGGTCAACCAGGAAGGCACAGGCATGATGTGCTGAATGGCCCGTTGAGAGCACAGTAGCAGAGTATTTTTCCTGTGCTCAATTCATTAGACTAGTAATCTAGTACCCCAGTCTAATGTCCTGAGGATATAGGTTCAACTTCTGCCAAGGCACATGGAATTAAACATTTAATAATGATCATTATTAATCAATGATTGTCAATTATCATAAAAATACATCTCTATTTTAAAAATAGAGTTCAGTAATGCCCTGTAGGGAAGGAAATCTGCCATCTTCGCCTAGTCTAGCCAAATTTCGACTCCAGATCCACAGTGATATGCTTGATTCTCGATTCTTTTCCAGGTAATTAGGAATGGACAATAAATGCTGGCTGAGTCAGTGACACCATGACTGAATATGAAAACATACATTGATGTTATTCATTCCAGTAAATTGTTCCTTATGACCAGGAGTTCAATACTCCAGGTAAATAGTCCTGACTTCTCCTTTGGATTTTGTGTAGTGACTATTTTGGCTCTTGGTTTTGGTTTTTTTCCCCGACATGTTAAAACGTTTCTTCTTCATCTATTCTGTTAAATCCCTTCAAAATTTAACAGGCTACCTCAACCCATTTAGCTTTCTGTGACTGTTCAAATCTCTCAGGTCTGTTAGCACTGATAGAGGTTCTGCTGAGTCCCCTTCACCCTTGCTGGCCTGTTTTCTGTGATTGAAATGTTCCTCTATTACTTTGGTTGTTTCTACCTAAGAATATTATGCTGTCCAGATTAAATAACTCCCCACTATATTCCTGAAGATGTTTAACCTCTTTTTCTGCTACATTTCTATCCCACTTGTTGATACACATTTAAGGAAACTGATTTTACATGCAGGTGAGCTTGGGGATATTTTACAGAAATATCCATGAGTTTGGCTTTAATCCTAAGAACTCAGATGGATTGGGTGCATGAACATTTCAACTGTGCTCAATAACTCCTTCAAAATGTGTAACCAAGTTTGGATACTGGTTTTTATTCTTGAACAGTTTCCATTGGTTTCATAAAGTTTTCTGTGTGAAGCTGGGGTTCTTTTTAATCCCGAAGGCTGACTTGCTTTTGAATGGGGTGTTAGGAATAACCTCCTTGGTGAATCGGGATTTCTTCGGTGCTTGCTCTTTCTTGTCCTTGGCCTTGGGATTGGACAACTTGCGCAGCTGCTCTGAGAACACAGAAGATAACAAACATTTCAGCACAAGCTACATATACTAGACCCTCTTGAAGCCCTTTTAGTGTGTGAATGCTCACATCGCACTCACTCTTATCAACCCTTACCTGCTACTGCAGGATGACAATGCTCGATGTTCTTCAACATGGATTCATAGATGATGGTGTCTGAATCATCTTGTTCTAAAATATTTAAAATAAATATTTTGTCAAATATACACACCTAACAATTACTTTTTCAAAACTTGCTAGATTCTGGGATGGTTGCATCAGACTGCTAAGTAATAAATATCACTCCTGCATTCAGGGAGGGAGGAAAGAAGGCTCATCAGCTTGATGCCTATAGTGGAGAAAATGTTAGAATTAATTAGTGAGGTTATAGCTGGGTATAGCTGAGAAGATTATCAGGAAGAGTCAGCGTGTTTTGTGTAAGGGAAATCATGTTTAACCAATTTATTGGAGTTCTTTGAAAGAGTAACATGCACTGTGGATCAAGGGGATTATGTAGATATACTGCACTTAGATTTTCAGAAAGCATTTGACATGGTGCTGCATAAAAGGTTATTGTGCTAAGTAGGAGCTGATGGTGTAATGGAGTAACATATCAGCATGGATAGATGATTGGATGGCTGGCAAAAAACAGAGTGGGATTGCAGGACTCCAATCATCACATCCTGCAGTGTGCCTGAGCTGTTTACACAATTTGTATCAATGATTTGGATCAAGGGTGTGAAGACAAGAGAGCTAAGTTTGCAGATAACACAAAGATAGGAAGTATACAGTAAAGACAAATTAAGGAGACAGCAGATGGATATAGGAAAAAATGAGTGCGCAAAGATCTGCAAGCTGAAGTGTAAGGTGGGAAAATGTGAAGTTGTCTTTGACAGGAAGAATGAACAACATAGAATATTACTTAAATGGAGAATGACTGCAGAATTCAAAGGTGCAAAGGGGTATAGATGTTCCAATGCATGAGTTACAAATAAATAGAACATAGAACAGTACAGCACAGTACAGGCCCTTTGGCCCACGTCAGAACACTAATCCTAAGATCTATCTAACCTCCACCCCTACCTTATACTATCATCCATATGCCTATCTAATAGCCGCTTAAATGCCCCTAATGAGGCCGAATCCACTACCATCTCTGGCAATGCATTCCACGCCCCTACCACTCTCTCAGTAAAGAACCTACCTCTGACGTCTCCCCTGTATCTACCTCCATTCACTTTAAAAGTATGCCCCCTCGTAATAGCTACCTCCACCCAAGGAAAAAGTCTCTAGCTGTCTACTATCTATACTTTGATCATTTTGTACACCTCTATCAAGTCACCTCTCATCCTTCGTTGTTCTAAAGAGAAAAGCCCTAGCTTTCTCAACCTTTCCTCGTAAGACCTTCCCACCATTCTAGGCAACATCCTGGTAAATCTCCTCTGCACTTTTTCCAATGCTTCCACATCTTTCCTGTAATGAGGCGACCAGAACTGGACACAATACTCAGATGTGGCTGAACCAGGCTTTTGTATAGCTGGAGCATAACTTCACGGCTCTTGAACTCGATCCCTCTGTTAATGAAAGCTAACACACCATACGCCTTCTTAACAACTCTATCCACCTGGGTGGCAGCTTTCAGGGAACTGTGAACATGAACCCCAAGATCCCTCTGCTCCTCCACACTGCCAAGAATCTTTCCGTTAACCCTGTATTCTGCTTTCAAGTTTGTTCTTCCAAAATGAATCACCTCGCACTTTTCAGGGTTAAACTGCATCTGCCACTTCTCAGCCCAGCTCTGCATCCTATCAATGTCCCTTTGTAACCTAGAACAGCCCTCCACACTGCTCACAACGCGACCCACCTTCATATCGTCCGCGAACTTGCTAATCCACCATTCTACTCCTTCATCCAAATCATTTACAAAAATCACAAATAGAAGAGGACCCAGAACAGATCCTTGTGGTACACCACTCGTAACTGAGCACCATGTTGAATATTTTCCGTCCACTACCACCCTTTGTCTTCTAAGGGTCAGCCAATTCTGAATCCAATCTGCCACATTTCACCCTATCCCATGCCTCCTTCTGCATGAGCCTACCATGGGGAACCTTATCAAACGCCTTACTTAAATCCATGTATACCACATCAACTGCTCTACCTTCATCCACGTGTTTGGTCACCTCTTCAAAGAATTCAATAAGGTTTGTGAGGCATGATCTACCCCTCACAAATCCATGCTGTCTATCACGAATCAAACTGTGCCTTTCCAAGTGATCATAAATCCTATCTCTCAGAGCCCTTTCCAATAATTTGCCCACCACTGATGTAAGACTAACTGGTCTGTAATTTACAGGGTTATCCCTATTCCCTTTTTTGACCAAGGGAATGACATTTGCCTCTCTCCAATCTTCCGGCACTATACCCACGGACAGTGAGGACAAAAGATCATTGCCAAAGGCCCTGCGATCTCTTCCCTCGCTTTCCATAGAATCCTTGGATAAATCCAATCAGGCCCAGGGGACTTGTCTTTCTTCAACTTCCTCAAAATTCCTAGCACATCTTCCTTACTAACATCGTCCTTCTCCAGCCTACCAGCCTGTTTCACACTGTCCTCCTCTACAACTAGGTCCCTCTCAGTTGTGAATACTAAAGAAAAGTATTCATTAAGGACCTCTCCTATCTCTTTAGGCTCCGTGCACAAATTCCCTTTACAATCCTTGATCGGCCCTATCCTTTCTCTGGTCATTCTCTTATTCCTCACGTACATGTAAAAAGCCTTGCATTTTTCCTTGATCCTATCTGCCAAGGTTTTCTCATGCCCCCCTTATAGCTCTTCTAAGCTCTTTCTTCAGCTCCTTCCTGGATAACTTGTATCCCTCTAGAGCCTTTTCCGTTCCTTGTTTCCTAAACCTTACACAAGCATCCTTCTTCCTCTTAACCAGTCGTTCGAACTCTCTCGAGAACCAAGGCTGCCTCACTCGACTGCATGTTCCCTGCCTGCTAGGGACAAACATATCGAGCACACGCAGTATGCATTCCTTAAACAATCTCCACATTTCAATAGTGCTCTTCCCTGACAGCATCTGTTCCCATTTTATGTTACCCAGTTCTTGCCTAACAGAATTGTAATTACCCTTCCCCAATTATAAACCTTACCCTGCTTTATGTACCTATCCTTTTCCATGACTGTTGTAAAAGTAACAGAGTTATGAACGCTACCGCCAAAATGCTCTCCTACCAACAGGTCAAACACTTGGCCCGGTTCATTGCCAAGCACCAAATCCAAAGTGGCCTCTCCTCGTGTTGGTCTATCTATATACTGTGTCAGGAATCCTTCCTGAACACACTGGACAAAATCTGCTCCATGTAAACTATTAGAACTAAAATGTTTCCAATCAATATTTGGAAAGTTGAAGTCACCCATGACTACAACCCTGTGACTTCTGCACCTTTCCAGTATCTGCCTCCCAATCCGCTCCTCTACTTCTCTGCAACTATTAGGGGGTCTGTAAAAAAGCCCCAACAAACTGACTGCTCCTTTCTTGTTCTGGACCTCAACCCAAACTGACTCTGTAGACATATCATTCTTGAACTGCCTTTCAGTAGCTGCTAAACTAGCCCTGACTAGCAATGCCACTCCCCTGCCTCTTTATCCACTCTCCCTATTTCTTTTAAAGCGTCTAAATTCCGGAACTTCCAACAACCATTCTTGTCCCTGAGTTACCCAAGTTTCTGTAATGGCCACAACATCGTAGTTCCAAGTACCCACCTATGCTCTAAGTTCATCCGCCTTATTTCTGATACTTCTAGCATTGAAGTATACACACCTCAAACCATCTCGGTGTCCACAATTACGCTCCATCAACCACATTTCTTTATAAACAACCTCACTCCCTGTTGTGTCTGTTGGAAGGCTGAATACCTCATCCTCTGAATTACAAATCCGGTTCCCCACCCACAACCAATCTAGTTTAAACCATCCTGTATAGCTTGAGTAAACCTCCCTCCCAGGATATTTGTGCCCTTCCAGTTCAGGTGCAACCCATCCTTACTGTACAGGTCCCACCTTCCCCAGAATGTGCTCCAATTATCCACATAATGGAAGCCCTCCCTCCTACACCAGTCCTGTCGCCACGTGTTTAGCTGCACTCTCTCCCTATTTCTTACCACATGGCACTGGTAGTAATCCAGAGATAACTACCCTGTTTGTCCTGGACTTCAGCTTCCAGCCTAACTCCCTGTATTCGTTTTTCACATTCTCTGTCCTTTTTCTACCTATGTCATTGGTAACGATGTGTACCATGACTGCTGGTTGCTCACCCTCCCCCTTAAGGATCTTGAAGACATGATCCAAGACATCACAGACCCTGGCACCTGAGAGGCAACATACCATCCATTCATCTCGTTCAGGTCCACAGAACCATCTGTCTGTGCCTCTTACTACTGAATCCCCCACTACAATTGCTCTCCAATTCTCCCCCCTTCCCTTCTGTGCCACAGGGCCAGGTTCAGTACCAGAGACCTGTCCGCTATGGCCTTCCTCTGGTAGGTCGTCCCCCCCAACAGTATCCAATATTATTGAGGGGAACGGCCACAGGGGATGCCTGCACTGTCTGCCTATCCCCTTTCCCCTTCCTGACAGCCACACAGCTACCTTTTTCCTGTACCTTGGGTGTGACCATCTCCCTGTAACTCCTCTCTATCACCCCCTCAGCCTCCCGAATGATCCTGAGTTCATCCAGCTCCAGCTCCAGTTCCCTAACTGAGGAGCTGGAGTTGGGTGCACTTCTCGCAGGTGAAGTCAGAGAGGACACCAGCAGTGACCCTTACCTCCCACATCCTGCAAGAGGAGCATGCATCTGCCCTAGCTTCCATTCCCTCTACTCTAGATTTCCAGAAGAATTTTTAAAAAAACCTTACCTTACTGACCCTCCACACAGTCTTCTTTTTTGGTTAGAGGAGGAGGATGTGTGGGAGACACTACATGTGTAGTGTTTCGGGTTTAGCCAATGCCTGAATATATCAGTTCCTTCCTGGCTCGCGTTCTCTCCACACACCCGCTGCTGAAAACAAGAGGGCCGCTGCTGCCACGAGGTAATTTTTTTTTAAATAGTATACTTTTTTTAAAAAAGTAATTAAGGCTAATGGAATGTTATCCTTCATTATGAGAGGATTTGGACACACAAATCATGCATCAGTTATTTCCAGCATTGATGAGATTACATCTTGAACATCTTGGCCTCCTTATTTAAGGATGGATGTAAACACATTGGAGGCGGCTCACCAGGCTGATTCCTGGAATGAGTGGACTGGCTTATGAAGATAGGTTGGACAGATTAGGCTTGACAAGGTGGATCTGGAATAGATGTTCAGAACCATGTTAGGGGATCACTCTTTTAGGACAGTGATGAGGAGAACTTTGCTTTCTATGAGGGTTCTGTGACTTTGAAGCTCAAGATGGTGTCATTTAATATTTTTAAGATGGGTGTAGATAGATTATTGGTAAAAACAATGGCCTGTGTCTGCTATAATTGGTATGCTTGTAATAAATATAATCAAATATACCCTCACTGGCATAAGCATGCCCCTTGTCAAACTGACATAAGAAATAGAAGCAGATCACAGAGCTTCTTCAGCCTGTTCCACCATTCAATACGATCATGACCAATTTTCAATCAACTCCACTTTCTTGTGTGAACCCTCAATCTCTTGATCCCCTTAGAGTCCAAAAGTCTCAGTCTTCACTGAACATTCCCAGCTCATTAGGATGGAGAATTTCAGAGTTGCTAGACCTTGGAATTGCATCTCATCTCATTCCTAAATGGTTAATTGATTATCCTTTGTTTCTAGATCCACCAGCCATGGGAAATAGGGCTGTCCTTTTGTACTGGAATATTGAATCCTAACAGCTCACACCGTTTAGGTAGAGCTTTAATCACAGTTTCATATTGATTGTTAATCCATATCTGGTAATCTGCCCACAACTTACAGTTTGTTTCACGACCCTTTCCCGGTGGAAATGGTTGAACTCTATCAGTCTTGCTGAGGGAACCTTAAAGCCCAAAGTCATTGGCTATTATTTGGAATGATGCTCATTAAACAGACTCTGAATTTACTCACTAATCACTTTGATGAGAATATATTTCCCACGTTCCTTCAGGATGTTGTTGACACATTGCAGGGAGTTTTGTTGCAGGCTGAGATTCATCAAGTTCCCAGACTCATCAATCAGATCGACGCAAGCTGGAACCAGGAAGTAGGATAAAGAATCTAAGATCCAATTTGAATTCACACCTGATTTCACCCCTCCACCTGAGGGCAGCAGCTACTATCCTATAAGTGTTCACAGCCCATTGACCGCTTCCCCAACCCATCCCACAACCTTTCAAAATGACCCGTCTATGCATGAATATGTCAACTGTAGATCAGTGGTCGGTACTCTTATCGAGGAGTCAGAATGTGTGGATTTAAACCCCAATCCAGGAATTGAGCACATAATCCAGGCTGACACTGTGCAAAACTAAGGACTGCTGTGATGTTGGAGGTGTTGTATTTTAGTGAGGCATTAAATTGAAAGGTGGCTAGTTGTCTCTGATGGATGTTATAGATCCAATGGCACTATTTCAAAGACACAGGACAGATATCCTGGTGTCTGTGTTAATATTGATCCCTCAACTCAAATCTGAACATCAAACCATTGTCTTCTTGTATAAAATGATTTGTATGAGAATATAGGAGACATCGTTAGCAAGTTTGCGGGTAACACCAAAATTGGTGGTATAGTGGACACTAAAGAAGGAGAAGATGTAAGATTACAAAGAGATCTTGATCAATTGGGTCAATGGGCTGAGGAGTAGCAGGTGGAGTTTATAGATCATAAGTGTGGAAACAGGCCCTTCGGCCCAACAAGTCCACACCAACGCTCAGAGCATCCTACCCAGACCCATCCCCCTATAACCCACCTAATCTACATATCCCTGAACACCAGGGGCAATTTAGCACAGCCAATCCACCTAGCCTGCACATCTTTGGACTGTGGGAGGAAACCAGAGCACCCAGAGGAAACCCACACAAACACATGGAGAATGTGAAAACTCCACACAGACAGTCGCCCAAGGGTGGAATTGAACCCGGGTCGCTGGCGCTGTGAGGCAGCAGCGCTAACCATTGTGCCACCGTGCTGCTCCTTAATTTGGGTGAATGTGAGATTCTGCATTTTGGTGATACAAACAAGGATAGGACTTATATAATTAATAATAGGGTCCTGGGTAGTGTTGCAGAACAATCAGACCTCGGGGTTCAGGCACATAATCTTTGAAATTTGTGTCACAGGTAGACGACCATTAAGAACGCGTTTAGCATGCTTGCCTTCATTGCTCAGACCTGAGTATAGGAGTTGGGACTTCATGTTGAGGTTGTACAATATATTGATGAAGTCTTTTATGGAGTACTGTGTGCAGTTCTAGCTGCCCAGTTATAGGAAGAATATTATTAAACTGGAGAGGGTTCAGAAAAGATTTTCCAGGATGTTGCCGGAAATGGAAGATTTAAAATATAAAAATAGACTGGAAAGGCTATCAACTCGCTGTCTGTCCAACTGCTGTTCTCTCTCTTTAGGCTCTATCCTATCATTTGCTCCCTACCCCATCGCCCTCCCCTTTTTTATGCATATAAACTGACGTTTTCCCAGCCACCATCAGTTCTGAGGAAGGGTCACCGGACCCGAAACATTAACTCTGTTTTTCCTTCACAGTGCTGCTAGACCTGCTGAACTTTCCCAAAAACTTTGTTTTTGTTCCTGGAAAGTCTGGGAATTTTTTTCACTGGAGTGTAGGAGATTGAGGGGTGACGTTATTGAGGTTTATAAAATCATGAGAGGCACATGATTTTACCCTATGGTGAGGGAGTTCAAAAGTACGGGGCATATTTTAATGTGAGAGAAGAAAGATTTAGAAAGGACATGAGGCAAACTTCTTTACACAGAGAATGGTTTGTGTGTGAACTGAACTGCCAGAGAAAGTGGTGGATGCAGGTACAGCTATAATGTTTAAAAGACAATCAGATAAGTTCATGAATGGGAAAGGTTTGGAGGGATATGGGCCACGTGCAAGTAAGTGGAATTTGTTTAGTTTGGAAACATGGTTGGCGTGGACTGGTTGGACCACAGAGTCTGTTTTCATGCTGTATGATTCTACGACTAAAAACTATGTGGTAACAAGTTGCCGTATTTACTACATTCTGAAAGTGATAATATCCCAATAATACTTGATCAACTGTAAAGGACTTTGTGATGTTCTTAGGTTATAAAAAGTTCTATTCAAAATGTAAGAATCCCATCCTTTCTGGTTGTTCCTTGCTTTCAGCTATGTGTCTTGCAATCCTGTTCCCTTTTTCCTTTTAATGCCCATATTTGGAAAGTCACATAGGAGAATGTCATGCTGGTCTACCTTCTCAGTACATAGGAGCCATGGTTAGTAAATTTGCAGATGCCACCAAAATTGGTGGTATAGTGGACAGTGAAAAAGGTGTTATGAAGCAGAGGTCGACACTGCCCCTCTGATAACTAAAACTGAAACACCCAGAGAAGCTTGCCTCACCTCATAATCTGTTAAAAGACGTGTGAAAATTGGTAATAACCTGCCTCTCACCTTCCAATCGGTTATAAAGAGGAAGTTAAATGAAATGAACTCCTGATAGTCACTCTATAATCGACAAGTAACAATTTATTTATCTAACTCTAACAGTGATAAAATTAACAGAACTATAACAAACCGAACAATTCCTACCTTAACTACTAACTATTCCGGAATAATTTGAAATGGTATGTTGTTCCAATAGAAATAAATCCTACTCATATAAACCAGATTAATAAAAAAAAAAATTAAAACTTAGTCTCTCGAAATTACAGCCAGGATACATCTTCCAGAATGTTTAGTGCCTTCTCTGCTGTTCTTCAATCAAGAATGCCTTTCTCCGTCAAATTCCTGTATCAGTAATATTAGCTAAGAGTGGCACTGTGCCTTTAGTTAGATGGTGGTTTTCTGAGAGCTTAGAAAATTCTGTAAGAGTCAATGATTTTCTCTTTAGGGCTGCTAGTTGTTAACTCTAACAGATGGCAGTTGATGACCTCTTAATTTCTTATAATAGGATTGGTCCTAAGTTGTCAAAGCCATCAGCTTTAAATTTAATTGGTTTCTAGTCTCTAAGTGCCTGGCTTAACTTACTTGGCTGATTTTCAAACTGGTTGCCTCGATAACAAAAGAAACTACTGCCTGGGTTGTTAACCATATAATGTTTGATACAATGTTTCAATTTCAGGAGCTCTCTGGGCACCTGCACATTTTTTAAAATCTCCAAGCCAAGAAAACATACATCATCTTTTAAAGGGACCACACACACACTTCCCCCTATCATTTTACAAATATAACATCCTGCTTTCCAATCCACAAATACTCCACCCAATTTCGCAACAAAGGTTATCTAAGTGTATGAGATCTTGATCAGCTGGGCCAATGGGCTGAGGAGTGGCAGATGGTGTTTAATTTAGATAATTGCAAGGTGTTGCATTTCGGTAAGACAAACCAGGGCAGGATGTATATAGTTAATCGTAGGGCCCTGGAGAGCATTACCAAACAGACAGATCTAGAGGTACAGATACACAGTTCCTATATAAGTGGTGTCACAGGTAGACAGGATGTTGAAGAAGTTGTTTGGCATGGTTGGTATGAGGACAGGAATCCGGACATCATGTCAGAGCTGTACAAGACACTGGTGAGACCACTTTTGCAGTACTGCATACAATTCTGGTCACCCTGATATAGGAAAGGTGTTATTAAACTGGAAAGAATGCAGAAAAGATTTACAAGCATGTTACCAAAACTAGAGGCTTTGAGTTATAAGGGGGGACTGAATAGGCTGGGACTTTTTCCCATATGTCGGAGGCTGAGGGATGACCTTACAGAGGTTTATAAAATCATGAGATGCACAGATAAGGTGAATAGCCAAGGTCTTTTCCCCAGGGGAGGGGAGTCCAAAACTAGAGGGCATTGGTTTTAGGTGAGAAGGAAAAGATTTAAGAGGACTTGAGGGGCAACCATTTCATGCAGCTGGTGGTGCGTATATGGAACCAGAGGAAATGGTAAAAGTGAGTACAATTGCAACATTTAAAAGACATTTGTACAGGTAAATGAATAGGAAAGGTTTAGATGGATGTGGGCCAAATGCAGGAAAATAGGACTAGTTCAGTTTGGGAAACCTGGTCAGCATGGACGAGTTGGATCAAAGGGTCTGTTTCTGTGCTGTATGAGTCTATGACTCTACATCACCATTACATACCTTTAGTGTCACACACGCACATCTGTTTGATATGTTCTATGAAGTTCACAATTCGACAGAAGTGATTGAGAATCAACATCTGACCTGCTGTGATTTAAGAGAGGCACAGCATTAAACACTTCAGAGATAACAAAGCTGGCTAGAGGTCACAAGAATAGAAGAGTCAGATCAGACTCAAAATGTTAACTCTATCCACAGGTGCTGCCAGATCTGCTGAGTTTCTCCAGATTTTCTGTTTCAGATTTCCAGCATCTACAGAGTTTTGTTTTTACTTGAGTGGTGTTATTTACTGCATCAAACCCCCTCAAAATATATTAAGAAGATATCCTACAGCCCAACTATTTCTTATTTTTAAAGGCACTGAAAAATGCCTCAAGGCCTCATAAGCTGTTTACAAGCTGCAATAATAAGCTCCATCTAAATAGTCTAGAATTTTTATCCTTAAATTTTTCTAAAAACTCTAAGGGTTATGATCAGTATATACAATTGTCTCAAATACATTACTGGCAATATAAATGTTGAAATGTTGCAACGCTAACACCAAACTCTAGCTCTCCTTCTCAATTTTGGAATATTTCTGTTGATGAATATTCAGCTTTTTGGAAAAATACGCAATAGGTCTTTCTATCTTCTTGTCATAGTCTTGCAAGAGTACACCATCAATAACCACAGCACTTGCATTGACAACTACTTTGAATGGTTCTGCATAGTTAGGTGTGGCTAACAGTGGGGCAGTGGGTAACATAGCTTTCAGGTTGTCAAATGCCTTCTGACACTCTTGTCCAGTGAAATTTTCTGCACTTCTTCATCAGGTCAGTCAATGCAGCAACCACACTGAAAATTCAGTAGAATTTTCAATCAAAACCAAGTTGGTCCCAGGAATTGTGGTACTTCTTACGGGAAACTCTCCAATAACCTTTGTTTTCACATCCCGTGGGGCCATCAGTCCATGTCCAATAACATGGCCCAGGAACCTGACTAGGGCTTTTGCAAACTCACTCTTAGTCAGGTTTATCACCAAACATGCCTCCTGGAGTCAATCAAGTAATTCTGCTATCGAAAACAAAAAATGCTGGAAATCACAGCAGGTCAGGCAGTATCTGTGAAGAGAGACCAAGCTAACATTTTGAATCTAGATGACTCTTCTTCAGATCTCTGAAGAATCATCTAGACTTGAATCATTAGTTTGCTCTCTCTGCATGGATGCTGCCTCACTCTCTTTGATTTCTAACATTTTTTGTTTTCAGTACAGATTCCAGTATCTGCAGTAATTTACTCCTGAATAATTCTACCTGATGGTCCAAATGTTCCTTCCATGAATAACTAAAAATTGCCAGCTCATCTATGTACATGACACAATTGGGTAATCCATAAATAACCTTATTGGTTAGTCTTTGAAATGTGGCCGGCACATTCTTCATACTTAATGGCATGACTTAATACTGGGATAGTCCATACGATGTCACGAAAGCTGGAATTTCCTTCACCCTTTCAGGTAAAGGTACCAGCCAGTCTCTCTGAGTAAATCCAACTGAGAAACGTTAAGTTGCTTGTCCCACCTTCTCAACACAGTCTTCCAAACATGGAATAGGATATGAATCAGATTTTGTAATTTCATTGATTTTGCAATACTCCACACATAATCTTTGGGATTTGGCACCATTACAATGGATGAGCTCTATTCGCTGTAACTCAATTTGATTATATTATTTCTCAGCATGCTTTCATTCTCTTTGAACTTGTGCCAACTTTAGATGGTTATGTCTATAAGAATGTTGCTTAATTGGAACAGCATTTCCTATATCTTCATCATGCATAATCAGATTAGTATCTCCCAGTATATTCTCACTTATCTTTCCATGTGATTGTAATAACTCTTTTAGGTCATTTTTATTTTCCCTGGAAGGTAACACAGTAATTTATCCCAATTTTTGAGAACTTCCTCATTGTCCAACTTAATTTGAGGATTGTCCAATTCAGAGTGCTCTGAACTTGGTTCTTCATTCTGTGTTCCAACAAGTGACACATTCTCCTTTTGCTTTCCTTCCCTATCAATATACCTTTTCACATGACACACTCTGGGAGAGTTCTTTCTATCTGGCATTCTTATCAAATAATGCACCTCATTCAATCTCCTTTCGATTTGATAAGCCCATTAAACCTTGCTTTTAAAGTTTCAACTATCATTGGAAGTAACACTGACACTTTATTTCCACTAGCAAAATTGCAAAATTTTGATTTTTTGTCTGCTTCCTGATTTCATCCTGACTCACCAATTTCTCCTTCATGAACTTCAGTGGTCCTCTGACCTCATGCCCAAAAACCAATTCAAATGGACTGAATTTGGTATTCATTTGGTGCATCCCAAATTGCAAAATGTACAAATAGAATTCCTTTATTCCAATCCTTTGGATAGTCTTGACTATAAACCCTCAAAATGTTCTTTAAAGTTTGATGCCACCATTCTAATGCTCCCTGTGATTTTTTTTCCCTTTATTCATTCACAGGATGAGGGTATAGCTGGCTTGGCAGCATTTATTGCCCATCCCTAATTGCCCAGAGAGTCGGCCACATTGCTGTAGATCTGCAGTCACATGTAGGCCAGACCAGGTAAGAGTGGCAGTTTCCTTCCCTTAAAGGACGTTAGCGAACCAGATGGGTTTTTCAGACAATCGACAATGGATTAACAGTCATCATTCGACTCTTAATTCTAGATATTTATTGAATTCAAATTCTACCATCTGCCATGGTGGGATTCAAACCCAGGTCTCCAGAATGTTATCTGGGTCTCTGGATTAATAGTCCAGCAATAATACCTCTAGGCCATCGCCTCCCAATTCTGGATGGTATCTAATGGGTTTGAATTGTTTTATTACAAAGCTATCCATAACTTCCCTGAATAATTTGACAAAAAAATTTGACCCTTGATCTGATTGTATCTCTGTGGGCAGTCTGTATGTCGTGAAATAGTTGAGGAACTCTTCTACAATCCTTTTAGCTGTGATATTGCATAACGGAATGGCCATGGAAATCTAGTGCACATATCTATTATTGTCAACAACTACTGGTTTCTACTTTTTGTTCTAGGTAGGGGTCCTACATAATTAATTATGACCCTTGTAAAAGATTTCTCAAATGCAGGAATGGGTATTAAAAGGTGCTGGTTTTATCACTGCCTGAGGTTTTCCAAATACCTGACATGTGTGACATGTCTGGCAAAATTCAACTACATCCTTACGCAGTCTGGGCCAGTAAAAACGTTTCTGTACTTTTACTTGAGTTTTCCTTACTCCCAAATGACGTCCTACTGGTAATTCATGTGCTACCTGCAACACCTCCCTTCTATTAACCCATCAGTAATACAACTTGATGAACTTCTGCCCATTTCTCATCCACCTGAATATGTGATGGTCTCCATCTCCTCATCAAGATGTCATTTTTAAGATAGTAGCATTCTGGGATACTTCAGATTTTTCCTTCTGTATATGCTTTTTGATACAGCTGTTTTAAGGTTTTCACCTTTATGTTGTAACTAAGTCAATATCTCTAAATTTAAAGTATGTATTTTGTCCACCTGTTCCTGTTTTTCCTCAACCATATGATCAAAGATGGTCTCTGATAACCATACTTCTCTTTATTCTAAAAAAAGCTAAAACAACAAAACCAAAAAAATCCTTAAAAAAACTAGAAAGCCTGGTCTGTAAAAGCTGGCCACAACCAGGCTGCCTCCAATGTTCAACTTTTTAAAAAAATCCAAGGCCTCACAAATTGTTTACTTCCTTTGAGACAGCTCAGCACCTCTGCCTTACAACCTCTCTTCAAAATGGACAAAATAACCTCCTAAAAGTACAGCATTGTCACACTTGTTACCACAGTCAGAAAACATCCAAGGATATACTTCCTGTAATACTCCAGTGTTTGATTTTCGACTGGCTTTTCAACCACAGCAGGCATCACTGCCACCCGTGATCCAGCTTTGTCATTATCAAGGATAAACTGTATTTTTGGAACCAAGAATCGCTCTGTTATTCCTACCAACATTTCATCACTTTTCACCAGACTTTCCAACCTTGCTTTATATCATGGAACATTGCTCTACTCACCATGAATTCCACATATTATCATCTTTCTGGCAATATTCCTTAAGAATTACATATCTGCTCATTTCTCACCAAAGATTCACTTGCTCCTGTAACTCTTAAAATTTTAATTTCTTCACTTTTCCTCCTGGTATACATGAGTAAACTTTACCTACACCAGCAAACTGTTTAAAGAGATCTAGCATTTTCTTCTCAACCAATCCCTGACCAAGTTGTACATTGTTTTTCAGTATTTTTAGCTTCCACCGTGCTTTTCGTTATCACTTTAACAGAACTCATTGGCTTATCCTGTTTTCCCACATTCGTCTTCCCAGTGCTATTACTATACCACCAACACTGCAACTTCATGTTGTGTCCTTCATTACAGTGAAACACCTGAGCTTTTTTACTTCTCTTTCCGCCTCATGGGTTTCCTTTTTACCCTGTGGTAAACTATCATTACCATCTTCAATGAGATCTTCTTCTCCCTTACCACCTGAGAACTTCTCTTTTCTCTATTTTCTATCCCTCACCAACTGAAATTGATGTTAGAAGCCTAACTTTTATTTATGAACCAATCATCTGCTGTTTCTGCTGCTCCTGTGGCAGTCTTAACTCTGTGCTCTTCCATATGCGTTCCCACCAGTTCAGAGTTTTTGAACTCCTCCTAAATAATTGTCTCTATGAGAGAGTCATGTGTTTGATCTATTTTCAATGCCTTTATCCATCTATCAAAATTACTTTGTTTGGTCCCTTCAAACTCAATGTATGTTTCACCACGTTCCCTCTTTAGATTCCTAAAATGCTGTCTGTGGGCCTCTGGTACTAGTTCAAATGCATTTAAGATGGCATTTTTCACTCCATCATACACCCCAGATACCTCCTCTGATAGTGATGCCAATACTTCACTAGCCCCACCCTATTCACCTGGTCACTGGCTATGCATCTGCCTAGACACTTTCTCAAGTGAAATGAAAAAGGCTCCTACGTCCTTCTTGTTGAATTTAT